TACCTGGAGTCTTGTAACGAAAATAATTTCCCCCTGGGATTATTAAAGTATTTCTGATTCTGAAAGAGCTATTCAGGGTGGCACCATACATTTACTGTAGGCTTCAGGTAGCTGTACCTTTAGCTGAACATCTCGCACAACCCACGATTATTCTCTTCCCATAGTGTTTGTGTTAATGCTCTATTTATCGAACTGTGTAGCACTTACAAGGACAAGGGGTCCTTGCCCCCCTTAGTCACTGTTGCTACGGCTGTCAAGCTCTCCATTCTCGCACAGCACTCATAGCCTACAGGTTACAAAGGTGGCAGGTCTGCCAGACACTGATGAAAGTAAATGAAATGACAACGGCTGCAGTCATCAGCTGTAGGTAGCTAATTAAGTTAATGTTAGCTCAGTGAGTTTGTGGAAAACACTCTCTGTCTGACTTTTTCATGTTTCTAGCTGACTTGTTTTATAACAGGAATCTTGACTTGGAAGGTTTGCAGACGAGAAAAGCTTTCAATGTTGTTGAATGTAGATGTTCAAGAATGGCTGTTCGAGGACCCTTCGCTAAGCCGTGTACCGAACTGTTGCCATATCTGAAGTAGCTAGCGTTCCATTCTCGCATGCAGTTTACAATGAATATAGTAATTTTTGAAAAATGGCTCTATGATTTCAGACGTAGAGACAAAAGCAGGCTTCTTACATCTAGGACATTTTGCCGGCTGAAAGGAAAGCTGTACTGTAGCTAGCTTGCTAATTAAACTAACGTTAGCTCCATTGTTTTAAAGTGCTGTCTCCGCCTGACTTTTTAATGTTCCAAGCAGTAATAGAGGTTAGATATAATGCATTAGAAGCATGAAAATAAAATAATTACACTGTTATATAATTTACATACCCTGTTTGGCAGTAAAGTCAGAACAGACAAACCAAATACTGGCTCTTTTGTGTTCTTCGCACATTTTGTGGCTACCGTATTCTCCACACTTGGAAAGGGAGGATGAGGTAAGGGCATTGCAATCAGCATTTACACTGCTAGATGCCACTAAAATCCATTCCCAACACATCTTTTAGAGTTAGGCTAAAAATAAAGACACCACACGCCAAACCTCATGCTGAAGAGTTGTTTTGTATTAGGGTTTTGTACTATTCCACATTTTTCGACACTCAAGGTTTTTATTAGATTTAATCCAAGATGTGTGTGGCCTCCTGTTGATGCAGGCTTTAAAGTACTTACTGGAAATATCAAGTGTCCTTGTTCCATCCAGTTGCTTAAATTCTTGAGAAGCATTTGGTTAATTAGGCTCTTGAGCATTTCCGTTGAAAAAAAACTCCCAAAAAACTCTTAACCCTTAAAAAAATCGTACTCCTTCTGTCAAGAGCTGTGAAGGATTTCGAGACCCATTTCCCCTGCACAAACAGAAAGCTATTTTGGCAGTAGATGACGGCATTACAGTGAATAAATTGAATCACCTAAATTAAATACCACAGCATATGACTCAAAGTTATGATTCTCTCTCAGGCGATCACACAAATCATCAATTTCCCTGCATGCTTATTATATCTATGAGCATTTTCAATTTGCAGCTTGACATGGGAACAAATGACGTTAAGATATTAGATCAGAAAAATGTGGTTTTACTTTTGAGTGAGCTGCTTCCTCAACCCAGTTTACCCTTTTAGAGCTAATGGAACATAAATATACATGTCATTAGTAAAAGGGGTAAAGGAGGGAGGGCCTAAGCTTTACTTTATGATGTATGTGCACATATTCCTGTCATTCCTTCATCTCAGCCAGGGTCTACATGTGCTGCTGCTGTGCGAGCCAGTCATTGCTGTGCTCCATTATCAGTCATTTTCTGGCATGTCTCCTCTGGCAGACGAATAAGCCTGCATGGCCAATGATAACTCCCACTGCTAAAAGACACCTCTGCATGGATGAAGCATGACTGGACCCTCAGATAGCCCTCACTCCCTCTGTGAGTGTGTGTGCAAACGTAATGTATGCGTGTATAACACGCATGCTGGATTCATGACTCGCTTTGTGTTATTTTGCTTGCTTGTGTGCGCACACATGGAAATCTGCAAATGTCCATGCAACCACATGTATGTGTGGGATTATGCGTGTGTGTGTGTCCTCCCATAGGGAGCAGTGAGCCATATGGATTTTGATACTGAGCAGGATTTTTAAACTTTGGGCTACAGACCCAGCTACTCCCCAAAGATTGAAAACCTAGAATAGCCCTAAATGAGTTCACTTTTTTTCTTTCTCAAACAATCCCATTTGCACTTGACGTCACCGCTGAGCTTATTTGGACGCTTCTGATGCTGGAGTTATTTTGCAGTATGACTTGTATTGCTTGTAAGAATACATCGTCTCTTTTGCCCAATAGACATAATAACACTGTTAGTTCTCCAGACACGCAACAAATGTTCTCTGTGTACATACTGCATATGGTTCAAATCAAAGCTACATGAAATGCAAGATCACTGAAGTATCACATTACAACATTTTTGTGAGTATGTTATCTTGATTAAAACTAGAGCCCTACATATTGAAACCATGTGTTGGCTTGTCCCCTGGTAGTGCAGTCATGCTGCTGAACACACTCCTGTTTCAGGTCAATGGAAAACAAAACACATATTAATGATATTCTAATTAGACTGTGGGTCCTTCTTGACAGAGTCAGGGCCAGAGGGATGGCCAAGAATGGCACCATTCCCCTCTAGTTTGCTTGTTAGTATCAGAGCCTCTGGACGAGAAGACTGTTTACACTTCTTGTTGGAAAGTCAAATAAACTAGACACAAAAGGACTACAAAGAGACCTTCAAAGACCTCAAAATGACTACAAAGAGCCACAAAACAACTATAAAGTGACGCAAAACAAGGGAGATGACAGAAATATAGTTAAATGCATTAAACAAAAGTTACTTTACAAATAAAGACTGAGTTGACTTTGATTTGACATTTGGCACATTTCTCTCTATAATCTCCTCATAACACTCCAGTAACACTTATCACAGGAACAACACTCTTCCAAGTCAGACCACACAGTTTTATATACAGTCGTCCTTTTTTCTCAAGCATTTCACAAACGCATCTCATCCCCAAATGTCTACCCAAGAAAATAGAAAACAGGTGGTAAGTGTGCTTGCTGCGCAAAGACAAAATAACATTCAATCAGTGTAACCAGGGAGGGAAATTTCCGTCGTGCCAAATTCTGCAGATAAAGAGAGGAAATCAATTGGCTATTTCATGATTGACCAAATACCTTCGCCTGTGAGTCTTGAAATCCAATGACCTGCACGGCAGATATATTGCCTCTTACCTGGAGATTGATAATGCAATCTTTGCACTAATTGAAACATGGCCATTTGAAATCCCTTCTCATTCTGTGTAGCAGTGTAAGTTTTGTATTTGTGTTGTATTTTGTTCTTTGAACAGCTGAGAAGTCATTGCCATGAATTTGGAAAATTTCTATTTTTGTTGGTTTTGTGCCCGAAGAAACTTTTTAAATTGTATTTTCTACTGTTAAGATGACAAATAAATGTGAAAGTCTAGCTTTTTGGAAACTTTTTTAACAGACAAATATTCTGTCATGACAAAGCTTTTTAGCCACACTACTACTTTGATCCAATTAAATTTTATTTGTATAGCGCCAATTCACAAATGGTAAGTGGTAAATAGAGCTGTACTTGTATAGTGCCTTTCTAGTCTTCAGACCACTCAAAGCGCTTTTACACTACATGCCACATTCACCACAAACCACCTGAGCCCACATCAAATGAAACAAAATATACAAAGAAATGTCACACATATCACACATTGTTCTGTTTTGGAGCCTCCATCATGTCAGAGTAGTTTTCTGTTTGTTTTTGTATATGAAGTGTCTTTGGGATAAGTTTGGGTTGGGTTTTTACCCGCATCTTTACTTTTTATTATTGCTCTCTTTGTGAGAGCTGTTTTGTAGAGACTGGATAACTTTTATCATAGTATTTTTTATTGTTTGTCTATCTGTAAAATATTTTGTCAAGAGGAATGCCTTGTCTTTTCATGCCAACCAAATCTACCAACCTAATCCCTGCGCCCTTTCTTCAGGCTGTGAGTGTAACAACCACGCCCAGCACTGTCGTTTCGACCAGGTGGCGTACGAAGCCAGCGGCAGGAGGAGTGGAGGTGTGTGTGAGGACTGCATGCACCACACCACAGGGCCGAAGTGTGACCAGTGTGCCCCAGGCTACCAGCCGAACCCCCTCAGCCGGATGGACCGCCCTGACGCCTGCATACGTAAGTGGTTTGTTAGTAAAATTTGCACACCGGCGTAGAAAGTGCAACACATCAAAATCCTTCAGTGACATGCTTCAGAAATGTGCAGTATGTGGATACAACCCTTGATGAGTGGCTCATGCTTGTTGTTTTGCTTCTGCCAGGCTGTATCTGCAGTGCTGAGGGGACAGTGAATGGGGGCCGGTGTGATGACAGCACAGGCTCGTGTCAGTGTAAGGTGAATGTCGAGGGTCCCCGCTGCGACCGCTGTAAGAGAGGCTATTATGGCCTGAGCGCCTCCAACCCTCTGGGCTGCTCCAGTGAGTCCTCCAACTCTCTCATATCACATTTTGTAACAATGCAGTCTTCTCCTTTCAGCTCTGTCTGTTTTGGATTTTCAGAAATCGAGGTTGTTTCATATTGAAACCCTCTTATACTACCACTGTTACTAATCTGATCAAAGTCTCCAGTGCCTCTTACTAACTCCTAACCCTTCTCTCCAGAATGCTCCTGTTCGCAGGACGGGTCACTGTCAGATGTTTGCGACCCAGTGACTGGCCAGTGTCCCTGTCGTCCCCACTTCCACGGCCTGACCTGTGAAGCGTGTTCAAAAGGCTACTGGAAACCAATCCTGTCAGGACGCTGTGAGCCCTGCAGCTGTGACCCCACCAGGTCAAACAGTGATACTTGTGACCAGGTATGACCTCTACCCACCAACCTATAACCCAGCCCCAGACCAAGTTGACATCTTCATGTTGCTTGTTTTGTCCGTAAAACTGTCAAAAACTGAAAGTTATTCTAGAGCAAAGCTAACGGGCACCACGGCCCACCAGAATCCACTGACAAAACCAGTTATTTTACCTAGAGTAGCACATAATCATAAAACACACTTCAAACTGGAATAAAACTATATGAAATTCAGTCTTTCTATCCTTCTAATCCTTGGGGACAAAGGGCAAAATCAGTTGTTGTTGCTACTAATGCCACTAAACAGCCATAATATCACTATCACTCTCCACCAGGCTCCATAAAACTCACCAAAACCGTCTTTGTTAGCCTTTCCACTGTTTCAACGATCACTAACTGTGCTTTGGTAGAAATAATCATTAATTAATTAAAGCATCATTAATTCAGTGACGTAGATAATAAAAACTGCAGTTTCAGTCACTCTACTTTGGTAGAAAATAATCATTAATTAATTAAAAGCAATCATTTTCAGTGCGAGATAATAAAACTGCAGTTTTCAGTCTCTAATTCAGCTGCACACGGAGCAGACCGG